TAAAGTACAAGACTGCACATTTTCCCGTAAACACCTTGGAGTTCTTCATGAAGCACTATTGAGCCTTCGACAAGACAAGTATACTAAACAGCAAGGAGGAGAAAACAAAGGTAACGGCTTCGTGGGTTTGGCCAGTAAGAATCCTGATGTGTCAAGGATAAAAGCTTTGCCAATCGTTCCTGTTAAAGTCAAAGGTAAAGGTTTAAAAAACGTGGTGAAAGTGTACGCATTGCTTGATACTGGTTCGACTTCTACATGGTGCTCTTCCAGCCTACTAGAACACCTGGAAGTACGTGGATGTGATGAGAAGGTTTCCCTAACTACTATCGCTACAAGTAACGTCAGCGTCGCCACTCAGAGAGTTAGTCTAGAAGTTATGGACCTAGATGAAAATTCAATGGTCGAAATTGTTGATGTGTACGCCACACCTGATTTACGCGTATCTTCAAGCAACATTCCCCAACAGCAAGATACTGATTGTTGGCCACACCTGGAAGGAGTAAGACTGCCATGCATCCAAGCTAAGGTGGAATTGCTAATTGGCCAGAACGCCCATGCTGCTTTAGAGCCACTGGAAGTGAAAGCAAGTAAAGATGGAAGTCCTTATGCTATAAGAACATGCCTAGGCTGGACGCTTAATGGCCCTCTTGGACGGAAGTGTACCAACAAAGATAAAGGAGCATTTTTCTGCGACTAYGATGCAGATCTACAAGAACAATTCAACCGTTTCATTAACTTAGAGTTTGCAGACTCTATCGCATGTGCCAAGTCATCGATGTCTCAAGATGATCAACGGGTACTGCAAGTATACCAGCAATCAGCATGTATGGTGGATGGTCACTACCAAATAGCCATACCGTGGAAAAGTACTTCTCCGTCGCTACCTAACAACCGGCCACTGGCAGAGCATCGTTTAAGACTTCTGAAAAAGRAACTGATCAACGATGGTACGTTCCTGAAGAAGTATGGTGACTTTATGGATAACCTTGTAGACAAAGGATATGCAAGAAAGGATCCTCAAGACCGTCTTAGTCGAGATGATGGCAAGGTTTGGTACCTACCTCACCACTCAGTAATCCATCCTCAAAAACCTGAAAAGGTTCGTGTCGTCTTGGACTGCGCCGCAAAGTATCATGGTGTATCTTTGAATGCTAACGTCTTACAAGGYCCTGACCTGRCAAGCCATTTATTTGGAGTACTGATAAGATTCAGAGAAGAACACTGCTGTATAATGTCAGACATAGAATCTATGTATTATCAAGTTAAAGTCCACCCTGATGATGTTGATGCGTTGCGCTTCTTATGGTACCCAGGCAACGATCTCACTAGAGAACCTGAAGACTACCAAATGCTCGTTCATCCTTTTGGGGGTGTATGGAGCGCAAGCTGCGCCAACTATGCACTGCGTCGCACTGGARCGGACAACTCTAAGGATTTCGACGTACAAGTCGTAGAAGCTATGAGAAGAAACTTTTACGTGGACGATTGTCTGAAGAGTATGAAGTCTGAAGAAAAGGCAATTGACTTTGCGCAGAGCTTATCATGTCTTCTTGCACGTGGTGGTTTTCACCTRACCAAATGGTTCAGCAATAGCAGAAAAGTGATTGACACGATTCCTGAACAAGAAAGAGTAGCAGAGCTACTGGACCTAAGTCAAAATGACCTACCTACCGAAAGAGCGCTTGGTGTACGTTGGAATGCTGAAAGCGACAAGTTCGTCATTGCAGTCAAGCCTAAAGATCGCCCAGCTACGAGAAGAGGTATTCTGAGTGTAGTGTCCTCAGTCTACGATCCATTTGGTTTTGTGAGTCCATTTGTGTTGTCTTCCAAGTCCATTCTAAGAGACCTGTCAACTCTGGGTTCGGACGACGTGATACCTGATCGTCAACTCGCTAGATGGAACCATTGGATGGGTGATCTTCACAAGCTGGAGAATTTCTCTCTTGATCGATGTTTCAAGCCACCAGAATTTGGTAACGTTGTACATAGCCGATTGCATCACTTCTCCGACGCATCGGAAGTTGGTTACGCTGCAGTATCATATTTAAGACAAGAAAACGACAGAGGAGACGTCCACTKTGCCTATGTGATTGGAAAGTCACGTATTGCCCCTTTAAAGCAGTTATCCATCCCACGTTTAGAGCTTTCAGCCGCAACCGTTTCTGTGCGATTGGATCAAATGCTGGTAAAAGAAATTGACATCAAGCTTGAAAGTTCCATGTTTTGGACAGRTAGTACGGCTGTACTTGGTTATATCGACAACAGAGACAAACGTTATCAAACATTTGTTGCAAATCGTCTCAGTTTCATTCATGACGGCTCAAGACCAGAACAATGGAAGTATATTGACACAAAATCAAACCCTGCAGATGTGGCTTCTAGAGGAACCTCAGCTGACAAGTTGTTWCGAAACAAGCAATGGTTCTATGGCCCARACTTCTTGTGGACTGCCGAACAGACTTGGCCAGCTCAACCTGATATAAAGAGAAAGATACCTACAGATGATATAGAAGTGAAACCTGAAGCGGTATTTCATTCAGAAGTTCAAAAGCCTGCCGTTGACCTGCTAGAAAGAATGTTTACGCGATTTTCCTCGTGGACCAAGCTGAAAAAGACCGTCGCATGGTTGCTACGTTACAARAACTGGCTTTTGTACAAGATCAGAGCCAAACGCCAAATTTCATGCAGTCCACCAGCTCAAGGAAGGCTATCAGTGGTAGAGTTTGAGTCTGCTGAGCACGAGTTACTGGTATGCGTACAGAGACTGTGTTTTTCTGATGAGTTTCGTGCTATGTCTGCAGGAGAAGGTGTCAAGACTTCAAGTCCAGTGTACAAGTTAGATCCAGTCATTTGCAATGGTTTGTTATGCGTTGGTGGTCGCATGAGGAACGCCCACATCGATGACAGTGCGAAGCATCCAGTTCTTCTTCCTAAAAGGCATCCCATCGTCAACCTTATAGTTCGCCATTTYCATGTAATTTCTGGCCACTCAGGGCAAGAGCATGTACTATCACTCATCAGAGAGCATTTTTGGATTGTACGAGCAAGAGTGAGTGTGCGCAACTTACTTCGGAACTGCATTGACTGCAAGAAACGGCAACAAAGACCAGCGCAACARAAGATGGCCGACTTGCCTCCTGACCGAGTCACTCCCGGGAAACCACCTTTCACGTTTACAGCTGTAGATTGTTTTGGTCCTTTCCTAGTGAAACGTGGCAGATCACGAGTGAAAAGGTATGGCRTGATATTTACCTGCTTGGCCATTAGAGMTATCCACATAGAAGTTGCCCATAGCTTRGACACAGCATCCTTCATCAACTCGCTTAGAAGATTTATCAGTAGAAGAGGCACACCAGAAGAAATGAGATCTGATAATGGAGGGAATTTTAAGGCTGGTGAAAGAGAGTTGAGACAAGCTATCGATGACTGGAACAAAGATCAGATATGTGAATTCATGCTTCAGAGAAATATCCAGTGGACCTTCAATCCACCACTTGCCTCACACATGGGAGGCGTTTGGGAGARATGTATCCGGACCGTAAGGAAAGTGATGWCTGCCCTACTTGAAGAACAAGTCCTAGATGATGAAGGCCTTTGCACCCWTACTTGTGAAGTGGAARCTATAGTAAACAGCAGACCGCTGACCAAAGTCTCCGACGACCCCAAGGACTTTGAGGCTCTGACACCAAACCATTTACTTCTTCTAAGGAAAGGTCCTAACTTACCCC